GTGCTTGAAACGGTGGTTGTGAAGTTTGTGCATTATTGTTATCACTCTTCTAACTAAAATTTGCGTGATTTCTCCAACCAGCGTTATTTATTACACTCCTTGTTTTGTACATAGCATCGTATATGGAAGATTTTTTTTTTCTTTTACTAATCACTTCTATCTTTCTTGATCTAAACTTGAAGTGTACTCCTTATAACCAAAAACTCCTCAACAAGTAATGCCAATTCATCCTTAGTAAAATACTCTAATGGTGGCATGTTTTCACAATCGGATTTGTCACTCTCGAATTCCATTTCATCATTGTCTCTCATCACCGTTATCCTTTTTTTTTAACACTCTAAAGTGTAATGTACAAGCCCCTAACACTTGAAACATTTAACATCTCGAATACATTTAGGTTAAGTGTTAGATTTACCTTTGAAACCCATAAAGGCTTCAACCTTAGATTCAGGAGGTTCAGCTTTGGTAGAGATAAAAAGTTTTGGTTGGGTATCCCTCTTTCTCTTTAAATTCAACTTCCAATATGATGAAGAACCCAAATTTAAGAGTAATGTAAGAGTGAAGGTCATCTAGGACACTACAATAGCTTAGGAGGTAGCTCAAGGAACTCAATCACAGATGCTAGATTGTTTAGAGCAAACAATGAGACAAATGTCAAATAGGTTGGAACATCTAGTTTGACTAATAACATACACAAACAGGAATGCTGATAATGAAAGGGATTCCTTGGAGACTTATATTGGGTGAACTAAACTCTGGATCTATTCCTATAAAATCATATAGATATCATATTTAAATGGACAATGGTTTTATGATAAACGAAGTATTGGAGACTTCATTCATAGTCATTTTATTCATAGATGCATCTCTAAATTTGATGAGATTCCTTTCTTTTAAGAAAGATTTTTAAAGAAGAGATTTATTAGTTAGTTGTTAAACTTAGAAGCTTACATTTATTTTAACAAGATTACTTGTTATCAAAAGTAGTTGTTGTATAGAAAATTTTGTAATGGTGCTAAAGAATGATGTTTGAAGTTTTAAAATATAAAAATCATACTAATAAGCTTTTGATTCAATCATGACAAGATTTGAGATAATTATTAATTTAAGAGCTTGTACAAGATGATTATAAAGAGATTTTATATTAGGTAGATGAAAAATAATGTTATTATTTATTTATTGTTCAACATTCTTAAATAGCAAGGAGACAAAACATGAAGGAAGTGTCATCTCTTCAAACTAGACAGTTTCAGCTTCATAATAGTGATAACAACAACAACACTTCTACAAACATTACTTTGTTGATGTTTCATATTTTAATAGTGAAGGAGAAATCAATGAAGCCCTTAAATTTGCATCTTGTATCGATTCTCAAAGTCTTGTAGCATTTTTTTTTAAGGAAGAATCCTTTTAATCAAACAATCATTGAAGAAAAGTTAGAAGAACACAATCAGACATCATTAATTTTATTGCTCTTCATGGAAAGGGATGATGAGACTAAAACCATGATTTAAAACATTGAAGAGTAAGTGTAAGACATATAAATGTTAACGAATCCATAAAATTCTTCCTTACCAAAGAGTATTGTCCAAGTTAATAAAGGTGATGGATTTAAGAGAGTGCAAAAAGAAGAATTAGACATGAAAGTATCTAATTTAAAAATTTCAAAGCTAGTCCATTATTCAGAAAATAACATGGTTGAAGAGGGAGTTGAAAAACGATTGTAGTTTTTTGACATTAAGTTGGAGAAAACAAAGACAAACAATGATATTTTAATCATAGATGAAGATCTTGCAAACGAGAATACGAGGGACACAATGACTTTTAACAAGTTTTTTGGAGAAGTTGTGGAAGATTATCTTGGAGTTCCTTTACATATAAAGATTAAATAAGCTTATTTAGTTGAAGTGATAATAAAAGAAGTCAGTTTGTGAATAGGCTAAATACAGTGCTATATTTAAAGTAACAATTTTTTTGGAGTGGTTGAGTTCAATATCTAATAGTTAACTTGAGGTCGAGTTTTTTTTGTAAGTAAGGGGACTAATATGGGGCATTTTCTTGATTATTTATGGAATAATTATTTTTATTGTATTGCTTCCTTGATTGGTAAGATTTTTTAGGTTTTGATGAGTTATATATGAGTCTAACACGTATTTTGGTGGAAAAAAACCATAACTTATGATGTAACAGTTAAATTAAGTTGAAATTTTTCTATAACATTCTAAAGGTCATGTTCCCTGTGCAAATAAGAAGACAAATCATCCGAGATTGGAAACATGTCTATGTTCAATCAAAAATTTTATGCTCGAGATTTTCTTTATTTATCTTTTTTTTTTTTAGATTAAGACTTCCAATTCAATTAGGATTGTCCTTACTAATTAGGACATTTTTCTTGTATTTAAATGTGGCTATTTTTTTTATAAAATTATTGAATTACAAACTTTTCAGAAAATATTAGAGTTTTCTCTCTATTTCTCTACAATTTTAAGGCTTGTTTTTTATTCGCATTACATGTCCTCTTTACATATGAATCAACAAATAAACTTTTGGATGTTCAGTTTAGTCAAAGAACCAATTCAACCTAGTAGCTTAAGCTGTTAGACGAGGTCCCAAGATATAATTTATATTATTCTCTAACACACCTCATCAAGTAAAAACTCTATGAACTTAAAAACTTGTACAAACTCACATTACCTTATGCTTAATTTTTATTAAATAAATAGGGATGATAAAATTCAAACTCATGACCGCTTGGTTATTAAGGATGATAAAATTCAAACTCGTGACCGCTTGATTATTAAAGCTTTGATACTATGTCAAAAAATCATTTCAACCCAATAACTTAAGCTGTTGGTAAGGTCTAAAAATATAATTTATATTATTCTCTAACAAGTTTGAAGCTACTTATATCCTCAAGGGAAGTTTTATAATATGAATGATATTTTATTCTTCTTTTCTATCTCATCAGTTTCCAATCAACATGACACCTATGAATTTAGAGCTAATCACTCTTGATCTTGAGACCGCAACTTGGTGAGACATAAGCTGATCATCCATAAAACAACAACAGGGAAAATATGGAATGTAACTTGAGCAAAAACTAACAGTTACTTAATTTATTTTTTATGGGGACACCAAACCCATACCACAAACTACATGAGTAGGATGGCCCAGCCTGTCACGCTTTGGTTAGGAGACTAAGCCTATTTGAGCCTATCTCATTGTTATTTTATTTATTTAGCCCATTTGGGCCTATTCATTATTATTTTAGTATTTATGTTAAATAATTTGATTTGATGGGCCGAGCCCAATAACGAAATGTTTTAGGGTTTATTATTTATATGTTCCTTTGTCATTTTATGAGATAGTTTTTAATGATTAATGAAAATTTTACAGATTTTGTATATCTACAATCCCCATTCTTCTCTTTCTTTGCTTTCACTTCTCGGCTTCTTTTCTAAAAGCTTCTTTCTTTTCTTGCTTTAATTCTTATTACTTATTGTCTCGTATCAAATTTGATATCAGAGCCTGGTTTTTAATTGTTCTTACAATTAAATGACCCATATGTTTATGTTTAACCCTAGATTGATCTTTAAAAAAAAAAGAATAAAAAAGCATACTATTCTAATTACAAAAAAAAAAAATTGATCATCATCCACGACTGTAATAGGATTTCCCAACAGCAGTGCCCCTGCCATCAGCGACAGACCCACCACCAAGAAGACCTGCACATCAGTCCACCGATCAACGTTAATTTGCTACCCCTGACACAGATCAGCGGCAACCATCAAATTGACACCATAAGAGACATAAATGGATCTTCGGTTTCAACAGCTAAACCAGTGGCATAAAACCACCAGCCACATACAAACCTATCACTGCTAGTACCGACTAGTGGTTCCTCTTAGCAAAGGCAGCACCTTAACTAGTGTCATCCTCTTCAGCGTCAACAATTGAGCTTCAGTTGGCACCGTCCACAATACCATTGCCCTCAACCATTACCAATAGACAAAGTAATAGAACCGGCCAGCAGCAACCACTACCCTCAATAGGCTGCAGTTATCCTCGCCTTCAGCAATCACGCTGTGCCGCCAACAACAACAAGTTACAGGAGGTGGGGAAGAAGGAAATAAAAGCTGGTAAAATAATTAACCCATCCATGTTAGCACCATGTCAGAGCATCCGTGTCATTAGCCATAGTATCAGTTCTTACCACGCCATTTGACACATCATCTACCTCGCCAACATATCCTGTCATATTAGTTGCTATGTAATACTTTACTGCCATATCATGAGGTTAGAATTTTTACCCATTAAAAATCATCATTCCTGGTATGCTTTTACACTTGTTAACCAAGATTTAGCATTGATATTATTCTTTGTGCTTGCCCATAACTAAATTACATAGCCCACCTTTAAATTGAATTACCTTAATTTTAAGCTTGTTTATTGGCATTGAAGATCTAATCCTCTTAATTAATTGTGGAGCTTGGTTAAATTAGTGGGAAAACTGAAACATTATGTTTGGATTACTTATGTGCATTTAGATGACTTACATTGCTTGTTTGTGTTTTCTCCTGGGTTAATCCGTCATTACTTAGTCTCCAAGATAAAACAATTAAAAAAATAATAATTTTTTAAAAAATATAAGCTATAATTTTATTTTGCATTTTTATTTGCAAGTGTTATTTGTGATCTCAGTCTTAAGATTAGTTTTTGCATTCATTTACGTAGTGGTCGTTTAGTGCACAATTTACAAGTCATAGCTACCATCGACCCGAACTCTAGTAATGTTCTTAGAGATATTCAAGAACAATTACAACTTATGAGAATGAAAATGAACAACATGTCCAATCAAATGAACAACATTTTTAAGAGGATGAAATCTATAGACACTTGTAAGTAAGACAGTCTAGTGAGCATGAGCATTCTAATGACAACCATAGGAATCCTTAAAGACTAGTTCCTCGTTGACACGACGAAAAGATTGATGTCTTCTCCCAAGTGCAGGAGTGTCGAAGTAATAAATAACCCGGCAAGACCGGGGTCAAACCACAGGGAGGTTATTTGTACAAATTAAAAATAACAATAATACAACAACAAAAAGAATAACAACAACAACAACAATAATAATAATAATAATAACAATAATAATAATAATAATAATAATAAAGAAAGAGAAGAAGAAGAAGATGATGATGATGAGAACTTAGAGATGAAATATTAATGTAAGGATTAAACAATAATAATAACAAATGTCAAGGTTAGAGGTTCCACTAATGGTATATCAAACAAGTATAGTATAAACTCTTATTATTGAATTGGAAACCACACACAAAGGAGGTTCCAATCAGATTATATATTGTTAACATGATTACATTAGTCATCTTATTCAATTAATGCTAATACTTGTAAATCTCGTCAAGCATTCATGATTATAACTTATGTTAACAACAAATCAAGTTCCTTTCATAGCTCAGGTGTCGGTTATACCATACATTATGGGCTATGAAAGTGCCAAGCATTTGTTGTACCAAGTGTTATACAACATAAATCAAGATTAATCATTTAACAAGCAAAGTATTAAAGAGTAAACAAGATAACAAATATAAAACATGTTAGTATCAAACATTAAAGTCCATATTAAGTTTACATTATACTTATTCTCACACCATTAGTGTAACCTTTTCACCTTGACATAATTAACTTAGCTAGACATAATGAAAGAAAGCAAAATAGATAAACAAAATAAGAACATAAAAGTTAACTAAGTAAAGGAAAGGAAATGAAAGGCATAAACTTAATATTAATGAAAACAAAGCATAAAAAATACAAAGAGAGAAAGGAAGAGCATGATCTTGATCTGAACACCAAGATGCCTAAATGCATGGCAAATGCCTCCTTTTATAGGCCAAAATTGGGAACTATTGATTTGATGACTAATTGATAAGTGGGTGACCAACTTTTGACTTGGTGACAATCCTTATCTTCTCAAATTAAAGGTATCTTATGTTATTAGATATATTATTATAAAACATGTTTTAGTTAAGGAGTTATTGATACTTCAAGTGCAAAATGATGATATAAAACCATGATAAAAATGCACTTTTAAGTACTAATCACTCGTAGGAACCACCACCATAACCAATACTAGGGTCACAATGAATTTTTTTACCCTAACGATAGTGAGCGTTCCAATGATTACCATTAAAGACCAACTCATCCTAGGAACCATCAATACAATCACAATCAAGGTCATCACCATTACAATGACCCTAAAAAACGAGTCATGAGGCATATCAAGGTAGAAGCCCTAATTGTTTAGGGTCAACTTAACCCATAGATCTTTGATAGATGGATCCATGACATAGATCGATTCTTTAGCTGGTATAATCTATCTAAGAATAAAAGGGTAAGATTTGCAAAGATAAAACTTAATGGAACCGCTCAACTCTATTGGAAAAGTGTAGAAGAGTCTTTCATTAGGAGAGGTCAACCCCTTATTACTAATTGGGTTGAAATAAAGACTAAGTTAGAAAAAAAAAAGTACTTGCCTCGTTCTTATGAAGGAAATCTTTTAGACTATGGAATAACTTGAGGCAAAGAGGGAAGTCTAGCAATGAATATGTAGCATAATTTGATGAGTATATGATGAAGAGTGCAATTAGGAAGGATAAAGTGATGGCTTTAAGTAGATTTCAAAAAGGGTTAAATAATGACCTTAGAAGAGAGGTTGTGCTTAGAGGGGTTTCCACCCTTGATGAAGCTTATACCCTAGTATAAAATTATGACTTGGTCATAAAAAGCTAGTGGACAACATGTTAGGACACTCGTAATACCCCTTCTAGATCTCAACCTAGTAGTAATAACTCTATATTAGGTGCCCCACCATGTAAGCCCAATCCTATGATTTCCCAGATACCTAGAGAAGACAAGGGTATGAAACACCTAAGATAACCTCAAGAATTTAGTGTTTTAAATGTCAGGGTTTTGGTCATATTTCCTTTAGTTGTCCTAATAAGGCTATGTTCATCAAAAGGCAAAAGAATATGGGTAAAGAAGATAATTATGATGATAAGGTATATGAACCCAATCCTGATGACTTTTAGGATCTAAATGATGAGGAGGATGAGTCTAACTTGCTAGGATGTGTTAGGTCTATATCCACTCAAATCAAGATAACTAGTTAAGTATGGTTAAATGTGCTTTAACACAACCTAAAGGAACTAAGGATTGGAGAAAGACTATTATTTTTTACACATAGATTAAATGTGGAGATATAAGGGGTAAGATCATCATAGATATTGGTAGTTGTATCAATGCAATTTCCTCTAGTAGTGTATCCCGCTTAGGCTTAAAGTCTGTTCCACACCCTAAACCCTATAGGGTGTCATAAAGTCTGTTCCACACCCTAAACCCTATAGTGTGTCATCGGTTAATGATACATTTATAGCAGTCAAAGAGAGATGTCTTTTTCCCACAAAGATCTTGGACTATCATGATGAAATTTGATGTGATCTCATTCTCATGGATATAAGGCATGTCATTTTGAGTAGGCCTTGGTTATATGATTTGGACGTTATAATTTTTGGACAATTAAATTCTTATTCATTCACTTTTCAAGGTAAAAAAATCCAATTTATTGGATTACCTTCAAGGTCTAATGATAATAGTCAAAAGAAGAATAAAGTGAAAGAAAGAGGGCTTAACATAATAAGTCCTAGGGAGTTTGATAAAGAGATTTGTGAGGAGTCTGTTATGTTTGCTGTAGTGGCTAAGGAGGTTGTAGAAGACGTTTTAGAAGAGCCACCTGAAAAGGTAAGAGAAATGTTAAAAGAATTTCTAGATGTTTTTCCTTTTAAACTACCTGATGTGTTACCCCTATGCGTGATGTTCAACACGCCATAGATTTTATCCCTGGTGCCACAATACCAAACTTACCTCACTATAAGATGAACCTGAGTGAACATGTTGAATTGCAAAGGCAAGTATATGAGTTGTTACAAAAAGGATTTATACGAGAGAGTTTGAGCCCTTATGCAGTTCCTACAATGTTAACACCTAAGAAAAATGAATCATAGAGAATGTGTGTAGGTAGTTGAGCCATCAATAGGATTACAATCAAGTATCATTTTCCAATTCCTCAATTGGATGACATGTTAGATATGATGGCAAGAGCCCATATCTTCTTTAAGATTGACTTGAAGAGTGGGTATCATCAGATTAGGATCTTTTTGGGAGATGAGTGGAAAAAAACATTTAAGACTAAGGATGGTTTATATGAATGGCTAATCATGCCTTTTGACTTTTCCAATGCATCAAGCACTTTTATGAGAGTAATGACACAAGTGCTTAGGCTATTTATAGGAAAGTTCTTGGTGGTATACTTTGATAATATTCTTATTTATAGCAAAACTAAAAAAGAGCATCTCGATCATCTTATTCAAGTTTGTACCACCCTAAGAAAGATAAATTTTTTTGCAAATGTCAAAAAGTGTTCCATCTTTACAGATCAAGTAGTCTTTTTAGGGTTTATAGTGTCATGGAAAGGAGTCTTTGTTGACCCCTAGAAAGTCTAAGCGATAGTAGATTGGCCTGAACCTAAGACTATTCATGAGATTTGTAGTTTTCATGGGCTTATGACTTTCTATCATCGTTTCGTTAAGGGATTTAGCACCATCATGTCACCTATTACATATTGTTTAAAACAAGGTGAGTTTAAGTGGAGTAAAGAAGCTAATAGGGCATTTGAGGAGGTTAAGAAGAAAATGATGGAGGCCCTAATAATATGGCTACCTGATTTTACTAAAGTGTTTGAAGTAGAATGCGATGCTTCGAGAGTCAGTATAGGTGGAGTACTTAGTCAGGAATGTCACCATGTAGCCTACTTTAGTGAGAAACTGAATAAGGCAAAACAAAAGTACCCAACTTATGATAAGGAGTTTTATGCGGTGGTTCAGGCCTTGCGCTAGTGAAGCCATTACTTGTTACTATAGGAGTTTGTTATTTACTTCGAGCAAGATTCTCCAAATTCTGAGCAAGGTTCATGCTCCTTTTTGAGTCTCTGAAATCTTGTGACTTCAACACTCATTGCAGATAACAGCATTACCTAACAACTTAAAGCATTTGCAACTTTATTCTCTATTCCAGATTTATGTTTCAAAACAAATGAGTATGCTTGCAAATATTCAACCTAATGACCATGCCTATGATTGAGCTTTTTTTGGGAGTAAGGATAAAAGGGCTCAACCACAAAACCTTATTGCCAATCTCTTAAGCCATGATGATTTGGCAAGGCACAATTATTCAAACAATACAAATAACCAAAACAACAAACAAGTAAACAAACATTACTTTTTGAAAATAATTGGAACTTCATGAATTTCCCAATTTGCTAAATCTTCTCCCTCGGCCAGTTTCCTCACGAATTCTGATGAGCCATCTTCCAAAACGCCAATAGTCAGCTGGGGCAACTATTCATGAGTACTATCTTATTCCTTTAACTCTTGTTCACCGACTTTTTCAAGATAATTGATAGTAACACCATTGAATTCCTTTCTTAGTCCTCCCTCATAATCTTCAGTTTTTATCACATATGCAGGTCTTGGGAACGTTACATGGATTGGTGGGATCTCCATTCAATCTTCATCTGGTTCTCTCCTTTAAATCCGGGCCATTCTCTTTTCTCTTCTAATTTCAGCTGCTCTTTTGAAATCTGCTTTCCCAGGCTTAAACCCTAAGCCAAACCTTTGATCCGCGCACTTCATTTTTATCACATTAACCCTCTCAGGCATTCCGGTAGTGTGGTCATATTGAAATGGGAGTCCATGCTTTAAGAAGTATTTAGCAGCCATTTTTACTGCTTCGGAAATTTCTGGTTTCCTTCGTATCGTATTTTCTGGTACCCATTCAGCATTTACAACTTCAAATGCATGCAAATTTCTGTCCTTACTTTCTTCAGTTTCTATGTAAGGGATAGACACATTTTTCATTGTTGATAAAGTTTCCTCAGCCCTCACAGTCACCAAATTTCCATTGATGATAAACTTGACCCGTTGATGTAAAGAAGATGCGACAGCTCGGGCTGCATGGATCCAAGGTCTCCCAAGTAACATGCTATATGATGGATGAATATCCATTACTTGTAATGTGACTTGAAATCACCATGTTATAAATGGCTATCACCTCTAAAATGGATATTTATTTCGGGATAATAAGCTTTGTATCCCGAAAACATCCGTGTGTGAATTTTTGATATGGGAGATTTATGCTAGAGGTCTCTTAGGACATCTTGGAAGGAATAAAACCATTGAAGAGGTGGAACATCAATTTTTCTGGTCTAGTTTGAAAAGAGATGTAGCCAAATTGGTATGTCAATGTCGAACTTGCCAATTACCTAAATATAGAAAACAAAATATTGGTCTTTACACCCCATTGCCCGTTCCCACTTACCTTTGGCAAGATGTAAGCATGGATTTTGTGCTTGGGCTTCCATGTACTGCAAAGAAACATGATTCTATTTTTATGGTTATTGACTACTTCTCTAAGATAGCCCATTTTATTCCTTGTACTAAGACCACAGATGCTTCCAGAGTTGCAAAACTCTATTTTGATGAGATTGTCAAGTTGTATGGTCTTCCCCAAACCATAGTTTCAGATAGGGATGTTAGATTTACAAGTTATTTTTAAGAAACCATTTGGCATGTGGTGGGAATCAAATTGAAGTTTTCTACTGCTTACCACCCCCAAACTAATGATCAAACTAAGGTGGTTAACAGGAGTTTGGGCAACCTTTTAAAGTATCTAATAAGTGATCATAATAAGAATTAGGATTTGATTCTTCCTATAGCCCAGTTTGCCTATGATAGCTCTATCAATAGGTCAATAGGCATGAGTCCCTTTGAAGTTGTATATGGTTATAAGCCTAAGAAACCTTTAGACCTTCTTCCTATGTCCTTTCATGCTAGAGTGTTTGAGTCAGCCGAGTTTTTTGCACGTAGAATTCAGGATTTGCATATTGAGATCACTAAACAGATTCAAGTAAGTAATGCGCAATATAAACTTTGAGCTGATTTACATAGATGACATAATGAGTTTAATGCGGGAGACTATGTTATGATACGAATTAGACATGAGCGGTTTCCTTCGAGAGCTAATCGAAAATTGCATGCACATAGTGTCGGGCCTTTCAAAGTCCTACAACGGGTTGGTCCAAATGCTTATGTTCTTGATTTAACACATGATTTTAGTATTAGCTCTACATTTAACATTTAGGATCTAATTGCACACCATAAACTACTTCCTATTTTAAATGATCCATTTGAGATACCACTTAACTCCCCTCTTGATGATCCTATTGAAACCTTTATCCCTTTCACCTTGACATCAGCACAAAAGTATAATATTGATGCTATTTTGGATGAACAATTTGTTTTTAACAGGAATGGTGAGGTTTAAAGGTTTCTAGTTCGCTAGGTGAGCCGACCTAACTCAGATTGCACTTGGATTACTAGAGATGCTTTGCAGCAGCTTAATCTAGATTTTTAGAAGTACTATCAGAATTAGTCAGTGCTACACTCAACGAAGTCGAGTTTCTCTAATCCTGGAAGAGTTGGTGGGGACACCAAACCCACACCACAAACTACACGAGTATATGGATGGAGATAATATAGAATGGCCCAGCTTGTCACGTTTTAGTTGAAAAACTAAATCCATTTGAGCCTTTCTCATTGTTATTTTATTCATTTAGTCCATTTGGACCTACTCATCATTATTTTATTATTTATGAAACAATTTGATTTGATAGGCCGAGCCCAATAACAAGATATTTTAGAGTTTATTATTTATACGTTTCTTTATCATTTTGTGAGACGATTTTTAATAATTAATGAAAAATTTACAAACTTTGCATATCTCTAATCTTCATTCTTCTTCTTTTTTACTTTTACTTCATAGCTTTTTTTCTAAGAACTTCTTTCTTTTCTTATTTTAATTCTTATTATTTATTGTCCAACATCACTTTTTCTTCTTTCATCTATGAACATAATTTTCACATGTTAGGTCATATGAGAACATCTAGCTCTTGAACAACAGTCATGAAAGGAGCTACATGGCTGAATGAAGCGTGCTTGGTTACTTAAATCCACAGAGATAGAAACGATGTGATTGTTTCTCAGTCGTAGGTGGAGGAGATGGAAGTTTTTCTATGCCAACATTGAAAGTCTCATGCAATGGTTCGACAAGAAGAGTTCCCTCGGCAGTGTGCTCGTCAAGCCAAGCTATGATATCGGCAAATACGACAGCAACGTTTTCGTCAGTCTCTCCCGCTGTCAAAGCATGCCACATTCCGGGGTCTGTCACTTTCCGCTGTCAAAGCATGCCACATTCCGGGGTACATTTTCATGGTCTTGTCTTCGCTGCTCGCTCGGTCGTACAAGGCCTTGCTTATTTCAGGGTCTGTCACTTTATCTCCGTCACCATGCAACACTACGAATGGTAGCGTCACCTGCCAATTCAACGATCCAGTTAGCCCAATCGCCGTAAATGTATCGCGCTTGAATCGAAACTCTGGAATAAATAAAGGGAGCCGAAGAGCAGAGTTGGTAGCAAACCTGCTTTAAACTTTCCTCGACCCTCATGCTAGTTCTGAGTATTTCCAGGGCTGTTTTAAGCCTGGGCTTGTCCTGGTATATCAGCTTGTTGTTCCTTATCTAAACCACCACCATGGCAGGATATATGAAGATTTTACGTGTATAAATGTAGCAATTTCCTTATCATAACATCTATCCTTAAACAACGAAAAGAAAAACACGAGCAATAGCTTACCTTTTCTCTCTTAAGTGGGTCCTTGAAGGCAGAGTCAATGACATCTTTCGTAGGAACAATCTTCCACTTCGGTATAAGGCCTTCCAAACCAGTCAATATATTAACAACTACCGGATGTGGCTTCAATTTCTCCGATATCTAACAAATCTTGTCAGGGATCCTGCCTTAGAATTAATGATCAAGTATCTAACCAAAATAAAAGAGTAGCTAATTCACTATTCACCTTGCACATAGGGGCAACAAGAACGGCGCCATGGTAGAACAGAGGTTCCTTCTTGTGGAGTAACAGGGCAACTGCCCCTCCCATGGACTCTCCATACAGGAACCTGCCCTTGTACCTGTAATCTTCCTCAGCTGAAAGTCAACAGAAACAAGTTAGTATAGCAGCCTGCAGTGCCACCATCACATTCGGGATCGATTGCTAGCTAGCTTACCACAAACTGACTTGAAAAAATCTTGGCAGTCGTTCACTATATTTTCAAACTTCTTGATGTAACAACGGGAACCAGCGGACCGTCCATGCCCCTCGTAGTCAATCCCAAACACAGCATATCCAGCACGTGCTAGCCTGATTCCACATTCTATTCAAATCAAAAACTGCTTCATTAAATCAGGATACCACCATTACATTTTAACTTTTCAAAGACTTAGTGTCTAAGGACCTCTCTGCTCAGAAATTCTTTCTGGTCAACGGTTCCTGTAGTTCGGGAGTGTCATGATTATTTCTGTATTTATGGAGGGGAAGATGCTGGTGGACCTTACAGCCCACCAAAAACTGGCTGTCAAACCTAACTCACCAACTTTTTTAATGGTTAGATATAAATTTTCATGCATGTATAAACATGCATATCCCGAACTCATGAAAGATGTGATGGGGATAAGATAACCAATATTGTGGTCTTACTTTTTCAGTGGCCTCAGTGTTCCGTGAGGTCACATAATTATGATGAGGACATGTCTGATAGGTTATGGACAGCGATGGTTAAAAAATTAATAGAGCTAATTATTAATAAATATTTGATATTTGATATTATATAAATATATATTATATATAAAATAATTAATTTAAAATGTATATATTAACTCATGCAAAATAAAATTAATTTAAAAATATTTTTAAATTAAAAAAACATACATTAAACTATTATTTTTTAGTTTTATATTTTGAAACTGTTTTATAATGACTTGGTTATTAATTTTATTAAAAATATTATTTCTCAATATATACAATTAAATTATTATTTATTTATTTTTATTTTTAAATCTTCCAGAAACTAGTAAAATTATTAGCAACAATTATTTGTTGACTTATTATTTTATACAAATGAGTTAAATATAAATATTTTTATTTTTATTTTTTTATTGTATCTCTAATTTTTTGAATTATTCAGTACTTCATTTTTAATCACTAATAAGTTGATTGTACTTCATTTTTAATCACTAATAAGTTGATCGTCATTATTTTTCATATGAAATTCATAACAAAATTAATAATATTATTTTTCATATGAAATTCATAAAAAAATTAATAATAATTCATTAAAATTCATTTCAATTTATATTTATATGCATATAATATTACCCATGCATATATTAATTTAACAAATTCATAAATTATCATAAACTCTAACACTTTTAATAACTAATTAATAAAAAATAAAACTAAAATTAAACAATGAAATAAATAGAAAAAGTAAAGAAAACTCACATAAAACATAAAGTATAAAGTATAAAAAATTACTTATTTAATTAATTAATAATTTTATAGAAGGAAAATTTTATAGAAGGAAGAGGGGGAGGAATAATAATTTTTTTTTTAGGAAGAGGGGGAGGAATAATAATTTTTTAAAAAAAATCTTGGATTAATTAGTAGTTAATAAAAAAATTAAACTTATTAAGTTATTATATTAAAATTTTAAAATAAAATATATTTTAATTAAAAAAATTAAGAGGGAAAATTGCTCCCTTAATTTTTATTATGGCTCAGCCACTGGTCATGAATCAGCTGCACAGATACAGCTATCTTTTAACTTTTTTTATGTTTGAAATTGTGCTTTACTTGTTTTAAAAATATATTTGAATTGAAATAAAAATATCGAGTTCTTATTTTTAATTTTAATATGTTTATATATAAAAAAATTATTTTAATATATTTATAAATTAAAAAAAAAAAGTTTAAGAACACTATACTTCACAGTCTGTCCTTTCTAACTGATAACTGACAATAATTCATCATTTGGTCTACAGCTATCGCTAGCATAGATAAACTAAAGACAGATTTCTCATGTGTGAAAGCAAAAGCACTACCACTGTTATGATCAGATTATACGTTTGTGTTATAAAAAATATAGTCAGTTAATAGATGATTAGGATGACGTTTGTGTGTATATATTTCGGCTTCCGCGTTTAGAATGGCAGCGCGACTTGTTTTTCTTAGCTTTCATTAATTTTGAGTTATAAAAATCAAGAAAAGGGCGCTGGGATATGAACAGTGTTATGATCAGAGTAAACGTACATGCTCCGTTTTAAGTGATCAGAAGAAGAAGAAGCTGGGCAAGCGCCCCGAATTAATTAGCTAGCATGAACAACTAAGGCATCGCAACTGAAAGCTGTGCAGAAGAACAAGTAAGTCATTAAGGGGTATTTATTACCTCTCATGAAACCACTGCACTCCATGCCATATCCTGCGTGCAAGCTCCATTAATTAATGGATTCAGTAAATGTTCACAGCAAACCCCCGGAAAAGAAGTAACCAGGAGGGAAGAAAAAATACCATGACAGAGGAAAACAAGTGCTCTTGGAGAAGAGGAATCCGAAGGCAACAATCTACATGTAAAGAGCTGCACTCCTCTTGAACTTCTTATATACCCCTGCCGCCACACCGCCATACACATTTCCTTTGCCAAATTAAAAGCAGGAGGCGCTAGCCCAGAAAAGAAAATTAACACATGGATTTGGTTCAATTATATATTACCTCCTGATATTCAAACTCCATCTCCATGCAAAGCTAAGAAGCAAACACGACCATAAACTATCGAGGGAGGCTGATGTGTGGCTCCAGGTCAGACGGAGAAAAGTCTTCTATGCTGGGGAAAAGAATATTACTAGTAAATGAAGAACGAAAAAAGTGGGAATATTTGGGGAGAGAGGACAGTGAGATTTGTTTGCGATCCCTATTCCTTGCACAGCTATGATGCCGTAGGGTTATGTTTATTTATAGGAGTTTGAACTGTTCCAAAAGTTATGAGGTGGCATGTGTCCATAAGTCCGTACGCAAATAAATAATGGAAGCTCCCTCCCAAACTCCATTTAATTATCTTAATTTTGGCTAACCTATTTAGATTCGGCGGATCAGGTGGAGCAGGTAGCATTTAAAAGCTACTTTTAAGACAGAAAGAAATTAAAAATAATCTATAAATTAATTTTTTTTTAAAATATCACAGTATATTTGCATTGTTAAACTGATATAATATATATATTCTAGTATACCTGATAATATATTAAAATTACCATATAAATTCAAATCATAGTTTATAAAACACCTTCACAAAACCTTTTCATTAGTATTTTTTAATGATATAATAAATATTTTTTCAATCTATTTAAAATATATGTTACTTCTTTTTATTTCAGAAGTACAGGATGTTAGTCCAAATGAATATTTGTGTAATGCAATTTAATTATGTATGCTAGTATATGTGACCACTTATTCATTAATAGAAAGTCCAAGCAAAAATAAAGAGTCTTATAGTGTCAATGTCATCTATTTATGTTTATGATATAATATTTATATCCCACATCTTCATCACTTAATTAGTACATAGATTGGACAGGCTTAGTTAGATGTGCTTTTAACAACTAATTTATAAAAAATCAATCATGAACATGTATGGCTAAACTTGTTCATACAATTTCATTCACTCATATGTTTGACAATAAATCATAACCTCACCTTGCACAATAATTTAAAATATAATAATTACATAAATATATAATATCTTTAATGTTAAGTAATGAAAATGTTTATTAAAATTAAATATACTTACAATATTGTAGAAAATGTCCTTCAATCGATATTGACATGACTAAAAGATTGATATTTTCTCTCAAATATAGGAGCATTGAAGTAATAAGTAACCCGGCAACACCAAGATTAAACTATAAGGAGGTTGACTATATAAATTATAAACAATAATAACAATAATAATAAGTTAAAGAGGAATTTGATATGTAAGATTAATGTGATGATTAAACAATAATAAAAACAAATGTTAAGATTAGAGGATTTACTAATGGTATTTTAAATAAGTATAGCATAAACTCTTTTTATTATTCAAATAGAAACCACATACAAAGGAGGTTTCAATCAGATAATATGTTATTAATAGCTAATTATAAATTATTAACATGATCATATTAATTATCTTATTTAAGTAACACCAAACTTTTAAATATTGTCAGGAACTCATGTTGCTTACTTATATTAACGATAAATCAAGTTCTTTTCATAACACATGTATAGGTTATATCATACGGTTGGGCTATAAAAATACAAAATATTTGTTGTACTAAGTGTTATACAACACAAATCTAGATTAAACATTTAACAAGGAAGGTATTAAAAAATAAGATAAAAATGATAAGACATGTTAATAGCAAGTTGTTCAGGATATAAGTATTGAAGTCTTTATTAAGTTTATATTATACTTATTATTACACTATTGATGTAACCTTTTCACCTTAACATAATAAACTTAACTAAACAAAATAAAAAAGATAAACATAAATAAACAAGATAAGAACATAAATAAGATATAAGTTAACTAAATAAAAGAAAGGGAATGAAAAACATAAATAAGAGATTAATGAAAGCAAAACTTAAGCATTATAAAAATTTAAAGAAAGAGAGCAAGAATATGATCTTGATCTGAAAACTAAAATGTCTAAATGAATGACAAATGCCTTCTTTTATAGGCAAAAAGTTGGAACTATTGATTTGTTGATTAATTGTTGAGTGGGTGTCCACATCTTAATTTGGTGACAATCCTTATCTTCTTGTCTGAATAAAACATCATTATTAACATTAAAATTTGAACAGACTGTCATCATAAAAGTTCTAGGAAATTGTCTCAGTTTTTTAACAAAAAAAATAACATCATTTGGATTTCTAGAACTTGAGATATGGGCTGAACACTGAAAAGTGACTGGATTGCAGGACATATTTTGACTTCTCCATTTTTGCTACAATTTGAACTTGAAAACAACATTTTTGAATCTTATACTCTTATGAAAGTTTTGGGGGGCCATGTATTAGCTTTTCATCTATATAAAACAGACCTAAATTCAAGTTTTACACCTCTAGATATGATTCAATGACTAAACAGTGTTCTTGTTAGGATTAAACTAGCATCTCTTTTATAAGTTTAGCCCTCTCTTTGTCTTCTTAATTTCAATAGTTAAACTCATCAATCAATCTTTTGATTTATATGATAGGCCTGCATTTAAGATGAACATTTATCATAAATTAAAGGTATCTTATATTTATTAAATATGTTATTATAAAACATACTCTAGTTAAGGAGTTATTGATACTTCAAGTGCAAAATGATTATATAAAACCTTGATAAAAATACACTTTTAAGTACTAATCAGATATTTATCCTACAACCATAGGATAAAAGTGTTAGCGAGCCAATAAGCATGTATTATGACTCAAACTCTCCATAAAAATAGCCATGCTCTATAGGAATTTTAGCCTTATAATGTGTTTTCACACCATAAAAAGAAAATATGTTATCCTGTTTGCGCAACATTCTATGTAAGTGTACTTGTATTTAATGTGAAATTAAAGTAGTTTAATATGCTTTAAAAAATTATCATATTATATTTTAACAAGCAATTATATTGTCATTCATGTATCAATAAACCTTAGGTTCCCATTTATTTAGAGTTCTTCTTTCATCTAACACTAACCAACATATTTTCAAATCAACACATTATCATCAACTTCTATTATACTTAATTATAATATGAGTTACACTTTGTCAATTACATCAATCCACATTATAACAAAGAAGAAGAGATGAATCTTTATGAATACAAATCTTTTTCATAATCAATACAACTATACTAGAGCAATTATTTTTATCGCATCCATATGTTACATCAAATTCAAAGAAATATCACTTATATCATTCTTTATTTTGATAAAACTTAACCCCAAGCTTACTATATATTCGATAGTTTCATCCATATTTAACTAGTGTTTTGCCTATGTTTTATATATATAATGTCTTGATATTCTTTGTTTTATATTTTGAAGGCAATTTTAGATGAAAGATGCAAAAAAGAGCAAATTGGAGGTAATTAGCATATTTGACTTTCAGTCGATGTTTTGTGCAAAGCGTGAGCTCTAGAGGTCAAAATGAAGTGATTCTAGTGGCACTAAAAAGCTAACATTCATATCTATCTGGACATCTAAGGTAAGAAAATAAAATAAGAAAGAGAATGGAAATTACAGTCTTCAAAGTCAAACCTCACAATCTGCCAATGTTGACCTTTGGCCATTCCGACTTGAATATCTGGAGCTACAGAAGTCTAATTGAGCTCAATTTTGTTGAATTCCTGACTCAAAGACCTATAAACTCTTCAAATTGAAGCAAAAAAAAGATGTCATATGAGTGAGATATGATTATATGATTTTTTAAAGATGACAACTAAATTCTGCCAACAACAGGATTTATAAAGAAACAAGTTCAAATTACATTTTGAAGCATCTAAACTGATACCCAAAGTTTTTATTTCAGCAATTTAGCTCATCTAAGTTAAAGCTTGAAGATTTCATGCAAGACTATATCTTTTTTTAGGAAAATAGATATTAAAGTACTTAAATGTAAAATATCTACTTAAAGAAGGACTATTTTGTAAAATAGAGATTAGGGTTTCTTAGGATATAAAAAGAATGAGAGAAGAGAAGGGGGTAGTTAGACAAGAGGAGAAAAACGCCCCCTCCTCTAAGAAAATTGAAATTATGCATTCTTTCTTCTTTTTGATTAGTTGTTTAACAAACATGCAAGGCTAAATATTTTTTCTTGGTTGCAATGACATGAAAACCTTCGAATTTCAAGAACCGTAAGATTTATTTTATCTTTTTTTTTTTAATTTATATGATGAATATGTTTGTTTTTATATATTTATTTTTTCTATAATTGTTTATTTTAATTGCTAGAGCAGACTCTAAGTTATTATTGGAGACAATCTATTGCTAAGTTTAATATTAAAACTAAAGTTGTGGTTTATGAATTTGTGAAGCAACTGGTTTTAATAATTGTGGCGGATCTACATTTTAATCTTAAGAAGAACATTCAATCATATTAAACATAGACTGCAAACAGTTATGTTTTCTTGATTAATCAATTTATCAAGTTCTTGAGGCTGCCATTAAATTAAATTATTAGTGCGGACATTGTGGTTTTTTGATGGTTAGGATTAGTTATACGGCGGATCCATTAACTAACCAATGTTAAGGAGAGATAAATATTCAGAATATAAATTGATGTTTCGTTTACATGATCAATTCTGATTTTTGTAGGTGGATGTGTGCTTGTGATCAAGGTTTGTTCTCTTGATAATTTTCTGATTTTATTTTATTTTGCTTGATAGTTTTCTAATTCTTTTACTTAAGCCTAGATAACATCCAAATCCTCCAAATCTAGCATAAAAATCTGACTTGAACCTTCCTCGTAGAATTGACCTCTTGCTTGCTCTATATTATCTTGTGTGTTGTGTTTTAAGTTAGGGTAATTATTTTGTATGACCGCGACATCGTAACAATAACATGAGTTACACTTTGTCAACTACATCAATCCACATCATAACAAATAAGAAGACATGAATCTTTATGAATACAAATCTTTTCCATAATCAATACAACTATACTAGAGCAATTATTTTATCACATCCATATGTTACATCACATTCAAAGAAATATCTCTTATATTATTCCTTATTTTGCCAAAACCTAACCCCAAGCTTACTAGATATTCCTTTTTTTTATTCTTCTTGTCATAACATATTTTCAAGCTAGTATCACATTCCACAATAGTTACATGAAAAATCTCAAGTACATATTCAATAACATTTAACTCACCTAAACATAATGAACTTAACAAATATTATGACTTACTCTCTAACCTTTTAGTTAAATTTAGGAGTTTCCACCATTAACATGCTGTTACAACACACACAATGTACATAATAATCTAAATTGAGAGAACTCCCCCTATACTATCCCTTTTTGGTTGAAAGTTAAGAGTCTTCAATATGCTAAATTCCTTCATCAATTTTCATTTATTTTCTTATCATTAAACTTCTATTTCACAATTCTACATTAACTTTCATTTTCTTTGAATTTCATCCATAAATCCTAACTTGAATAATTAAATATTTATTCAATTTCCATAATTAAATACTAACTAATGATAATAGTTTATAGAATAGTAACCCACCTAGTAATTTTGGATGAGCAATGGCAAATTCCCTTGCAAATTTCTTGATTAACACCTTCTTCTTCTTTCTCAACTCATATGGGCTCTTTCTCCCTTTAACTCCTTCTTATTGCTAGCCTTTTATCCTCTTTTTCTATCCTAAGCATGAGTTGAGTTAGGCCAGAACACGTGATGAGTTTTTATGCCCAAAGCCGACTTTGTTTAGGACATCTCCCTCTAAAAGTTTAGGTGTTCTTTAGATCCCATTTTAACTTCTCAACTTTTTCAATTAATAAACACCAAGAAAGTTTTTTTTTTCTTTTCTATATAGGATAAAGTTCTCTTAAAAAGCTTTTGGTTTCACCAAAACATGTCAATCAAAGGTTCTTTGAGATCATTTTCTTATTTACTCATAATTTTTTTA